TTTTAATCCACCAAAAACCTAAAGAGTCTCAATTATAAAGCCATTTTGATTTTGGAGTGAATACCAGTGGAATACTTCCACCTTTAATACCATGACTGAGGTGAGACCCTTGAGCAAGGCACCAAACCCCCAACATTGTTGGTGTGTGTTTACGGTGTGTGTGTGCACTTAGTTATATAAGAATGAATATATATTTGTGCTTTTTTTATTTTAGCTCAATAATATTTTTTTCTTTAATATTTGTATTATTTTAAGGGGATTTTACTAAATATTAACCTCTAAATTATGCACCATTTATCTTCTGCAACATCAGGGTGTAATCTCTAGATGGCTGTATAGCCCTATATATAAATACATATAAACCGTTTGCTGCAGAGTGAGAACTTAAGACATAAAGCACGTAACTTGTATCAGGTTATTCATTGATATATTTTCAGACATTATTAATTTAGTAAGAGTTGAGATTTAAATGTTGATTTGAAGTGTCAGTTATTATTCAATCTGGACTCTTTTCAACATACTATGCTTTGGGACACACTTCATCTAATCTCACATACTATTTAGGATGGATAGTATGAACATTGAGACGCAGGGACACATTCAAATAAATATAGACCCTATGGCATATATTGCAATGAAATAACTTGTCCTTTTTGTTTTGGCTAATTGCCATGGGGGAATAAATCGTAGATAATCCATCTGTAAAAAAGAATGGAAAAAAATATTGAATTAGTAACTTTAGAGATGGGTCAAAACTATTAGCTTTCTAGGTTTTACAAGAAATACCATTTCAGTCTTTCCTCTTAAAATGTTATGTTTAATCAAATGTGTTACTTGCGGTTTATTTGTACGTAGTTGTGAAATTTACTCACATTTTTGAGTGAAAATGGTTTCAGTTATTTTTCGACCAGAATTAGTAACTTTAGAGATGGGTCAAAACTATTAGCTTTCTAGGTTTTACAAGAAATACCATTTCAGTCTTTCCTCTTAAAATGTTATGTTTAATCAAATGTGTTACTTGCGGTTTATTTGTACGTAGTTGTGAAATTTACTCACATTTTTGAGTGAAAATGGTTTCAGTTATTTTTCGACCAGTTCTTTCTCTCTTGGTTAGATTTAAATGTTGATTTGAAGTGTCAGTTATTATTAAATCTGGACAGAGAAAGCATTTTGTTAGGCTACTCATACTAGCTACAGCGTGATCAGTCACACAAAAGTCATCAGAATAAATATTGGCTCAGTGTGACCAGGGCAATATTTTAAAACATAGAATTGAGTGTTTCCATACCATGAACAGAGATGTTCTATGGTTGAGATGTGTATCCTATTTGAAAAAATCTGCAACTGGTAAATTGAGATTCCAGTAACTTTACTGGCATAATAAAAAGGCTTTACAAAGCATTGACAGCGCTTTGAACCAATGGTATTGAGCATTAGAGGCTACAATTCATAGTTTTCAGTCACGTGACATGGCTCGAAGACCTGTGGGCAAAACATCCATAGAATTGCAGCAAAAGCTTGTCAATTTTCCATTTGTCTCCAATCCACAAATATTTAGATCTTTTGAAAAAAAAAGACTTACATCTTCGTCGAACTCGAAGGCATCTCTAATTTGACAGTTTACCATCTGATCTATACTGGGGGGTAATTTTGCCGGAAATGCAGAAATAACCCGTAATTTTGTTTTATTTGTAACTATTTGGTAGATACATTTATAATTTCCATTGCAATACTACTAGTAGTTACTGCTAATAAAGCAGATCTCTGGGGGGCCCCAAAAGTACGTGGGCCCTTAGAATTGTCCTAACTCCCCCCACCCCTAAAAGAAGCCTAAAACAGGCCAGAGGCCAGGCCGGCGTCTGAACTATGACGTCTGAATTATTTTAAAATAATAAAGTTACAATTACATAATATTTTTACTTCAACTCGGGTTTTTTTTTATATAAACAGGTGGCTGTCATAAAAAAATCGATGGATTTATTCAAACATAAATTAAACATAACAGCAAAAACTATAATGAATATGTTATATTGTGCATATATTTAGCAAAATACCCCTCTATACAGCTTATTTTTCTGGCTGACTAATGAGTTTATGGTGACCGAATATGTTTTTCTGAGGTAAATGTGACGTTAAGTGACATTGTTTACAAGACTTATTGACGTCTTTGTGCGGAGAAAACACTGATTGCGATTACATGAGACAGGATACGGATTGTAAAGTTGTACTCTTTCTTTTAACTTACCTTCGGATGTTTAATAATGTTTTTTTGTGCCGAAGCTGGTATCAATGTGGAGGAGACGATCAGTTCATGTGTCTGCCGCGTCTGTTCAACTGATGCTACAGCGATCTGTCACTCCACATTAAACAGCGCCAAAACGGCATTTATTGTTTAAATACTGCAATACAATGGATAGACAGAATTTTAAATCTGAGACGTTGCTTCATATTAAAAGTACCAAAGCACAATGCTTATTGCGATTTATTGGATGGGAAGTGCCCTTCAGTGTTTCGTCCATTAACTGAAAACAGGCTAGACTAATCGATTCTTGGGATTTAAGAATCGATATCGTTCCGTAAAAAAAGAGAATCGATTAATATCGAGATATCGATCTTTTTTACCCAGCCCTAATGCATGTTATAGATCTTATTGTGAATGATTCATCCATGTATATGTTTCTTTTTCTTTATCTTGTAATGCCATTTTAACCATCTTCCGTTCTGATGTATGGTGGACTTTGATTGTCAAATGGATGACTGGATGAAGTAAACATCTGTTGAGTATTTTAACATAAAATAGTTTGATAGTGTTGAAACCCAAAAATGCAGGGGGTTCACCAGACCCACAAACACTGGCTGAGTAACAAATATATGAACACCACACAAGGGTTAATATGATAATGGTTACCAGTGACAAATATTGTTTATTCTGAGTACTATTTAAATATGTAAAGAAAAAAAGATTTACCAGATCGCTGCATCATAGATTAGATAAAGCAGATGTTTATTGAATAGCTCTGAAATCATTTCCACTAAGGCCAGAGATGTAATTCATTAAAACTGATTTGATTTACTCTTGAGTACATACACACTGAAAAAAATTATACTCAATTTTTTTAAGGTAGGTGGTTGCAAACAATTTATTTGAGCTTCATTTAATATAAAAAAAATATGTTGAAAGTTAGTCAACTAAATTTATTTAAATGTAGCTAAAATAATTTGATTGCAACCACTTACCTTAAAAAAATTTAGTAAATTAAATGAATAATTTTTTGATACATTTAATACCATTTTATGATAGACATTCACTTTGTTTTATTTCAAAAATAAAATACATATCTAAATTGCTTAGATATATCTTATGTATATAATACAGTGTTTTACAGTAGTTTCAAATATTTCAATGTCATGAGGAGATCTCAAACAGAGCTCATTTAAAGGGATAGTTCACAAAAAAATGAAAATTCTGTCATTAATTACTCACCCTCATGTCGTTCTAAACCTGTAAGACCTCCGTGATTAGATGATGATTAACTAATCATTAAAATTACTATACATTCACAAATGATTATTAAGTAATATGCTAACGATTTACAAATCTTGTAAGTTATCTTAAAAAAATAGCATCATAAAAAAATTAAACAGATCCTGAGGTTAATACACTGAAAAAAAATGATACACAATTTTTTTAAGGTAGGTGGTTGCAAACAATTTATTTGAGCTTCATTTAATATAAAAAAAATATGTTGAAAGTTAGTCAACTAAATTTATTTAAATGTAGCTAAAATAATTTGATTGCAACCACTTACCTTAAAAAAATTTAGTAAATTAAATGAATAATTTTTTGATACATTTAATACCATTTTATGATAGACATTCACTTTGTTTTATTTCAAAAATAAAATACATATCTAAATTGCTTAGATATATCTTATGTATATAATACAGTGTTTTACAGTAGTTTCAAATATTTCAATGTCATGAGGAGATCTCAAACAGAGCTCATTTAAAGGGATAGTTCACAAAAAAATGAAAATTCTGTCATTAATTACTCACCCTCATGTCGTTCTAAACCTGTAAGACCTCCGTTCATCTTCGGAACACAAATTAAGATATTTTTGATAAAATCCAAGATCTCTCTGACCCTCTATATACAGCAAGGTTACTACCACGATTAAGGTCCAGAAACGTAGCAAAGACATAGGTAAAGTAGTCCATGTGACATCTGGGGTTCAACCGTAATTTTACGAAACTACGAGAATACTTTTTGTGTGCAAAGAAAACAAAATTAATAATGACTTTATTTAACAATTCTTCACGACACATGCGCTTGCTTCTGTCTGTGCAAACAACTTGTGCGTTTTTCTCAGTAATTTTAATCCCTTGTATATGAAGACTACATGAATTTTAGGATACTGTATAATTCATCTTTAAGATGATGTATATGAATATGTAATTAATAAAACTGATCTTATAGTCAACGGAAAACGGGATTATTGGTGCAATATGTAACACTGTAGGGCATAGAGAAACTGAATTTAAATGATATTTCATTCCACTTAAGCTTTGGCTTCAGGGGCAAAACAAGAGTAGTATGTGATTTTCCATAAATATAGATACTTTTTTTAATCACTAAAAATTACTTTAACAACAAATCCATTGTTTAAACTCATATCAACATTATTCATTTTCTAAATATATTTTTATATAGAAAGAACATTTTATGAAAAGCACAGCACAAAGACTAGCAACATTTATTGAACCCCTGGGGTTTATTTAGAACCTTTATTTATGAACATCAATGCCTCCATTTAATGATTTTCAACATGCAAAATAGCAAGTCACCAGCAATGGTTTACTAATTGTGTTTATAGAGAATGTGTGTCATTTATGTTGTCATATTTTCAAGCTGGAATATTGCTGTTAGTGTTAATCAAGGAGTGTTGGTCTTAACCTGGAAACATTTAGGAACCACATTTTTGAATTAACATAAATTAGACATGGACAACCAGACCTATTTCGCAATGTACACTCTGATGGAACCAAAAGGCTCCAAATCTTATCGACATTTATATTTTACATCTTTTTTGCTTCTCTATGCTTTGATACTGTTAACAAACCTTTGGCTCAGTGTGGTCATTGTTTTGGAGAGAGCTCTTCATGAACCAATGTACATTTTCCTGTGCAATTTATGTGTCAATTATTTATATGGAGCAACAGGATTTTATTCTAAATTCATGCATGATTTAATTTTGGATTCATATGTGATTCCTTCTTTTATGTGTGGCCTCCAAGCTTTTGTGATTTACAGTTCAGCTATGTGTACAACATTAGCAGTGATGGCATATGACAGACATGTGGCCATATGTCAACCTTTGGACTATCACTCAAACCTTACCAAAAATACATGTGGCATATTACTCCTATTCTGTTGGACTGTACCATTTACTTGTATGTTCTGTGGAGTGGTGCTGTTAAATTGGTTGGCAGAGTGTAAATATCATATTGACAAATTATACTGTGACAACTGGTCAATGGTAAAGCTCTCGTGTGAGTCAGTGGATATTAATAACCTCATGGCATTGATTGTTTTATTATTTTATGTGTCTTACAGCTTTAATTATTGTGTCTTAAATAAAACTTATTGTTGCATGTAAAGCATCTCTAGAAAACAGAAGAACATTTTGGCAGACGTGTTCCACATTTATTTTCAATAATACATTGTAGTTTTACTGTGTTTTTTGATGCAATGTGCAGCAGATATGCAATGTCCCAGAGAGTGTCTGTGTTGTTTTTGCCTTGATGCTGCTGATATTGCTGCCTCGTTTCAATCCTTTAGTCTATGTATTAAAACTCAAAGAGATTCGTAAAAGAAGTTTAAAATCGTGTAAATACCATGAAATAAAGAATTATACTTAGTGAATGACATGCCATATTAATATAAACAGGTGGACTTAAATTCAGACTGATGAGACATTTAATGACAAAATGTGCTCTTTATGTGAGTGAAAAGATGATAGAGAGCTGGTCTGGAGAGGCAGATTAATTTAGTTTTTCTAAAATCAATATCACAGATATGACCCCACTACCAATATATCTGTTACAATCGCCAGCTGGAGTGCCCACGAGCTCCGCTAGATGCACTCCATCCTGTACCTTTGCCATTCACCCAGGACTCCATTTCCCATAATCCTTTGCCCGGACTCATCTGCACTCATCATCATTGCTAGCACCTGTCTTTCATTACCTCATTAGCTCACATGTCTCATATTAGGAGGACTATAAAGATTGCACTCGCACACAAACACATTGCTGAAGATTGTTAGTCTGTAGCGTGTTTTTCCTGTTATCTAGTTTCCCTGTCTCCTTGCCTTTGTGTTTTTTGATCTTGGTCTGGTTCCTGTTTTATGATTGCTTGCTGCCTGCCCTGACCTTCGCCTGTCTTGTGGTTTACTCTTTTGGATTACCTTGGATGTACTGTTTTGCTGGTGTTTGACCCTGTCTGTCTGACTACGCTCTCTAATAAAAGCCTTGCATTTGGATCCTCAACTCCGTCGTCACGCCTTCCTCATTACAGAATCTTCAGCCATACCCGGATCCAGTGGCTTTGAGTGTTTTCAGTCCAACCAACATGGATTTAGCAGCAGTGGAGATCACACGCCTTCATCAAGGTGATAGATCAATTGAGGACTATGTTGCTGACTTTATTGAACTGGCAAACTTGACTTCAATGGATGAATTATGTTTAATGATATTTTTCTGTGGAGGGCTTTCTGAGCTGCTCCGCTCCCTCATGCCGCCTCATGAACCTAATTGGACTTTGGCACATTACACTGATATTGCACTGCGAATGAGTGGTTCGTTATGGCATTATTGTAATGACAAATGTCAAGAGCGCATTATTGTAGTGCGAAAGCACAATAATATAATGTGCGAGCGCGAATCTCTCCGCTCGCGTGCGGAATTCCTTTGCTCTCACACAAAACGCGCGCTCAGATACACGCTGCTCTCGCCCAGAGAGAGTGCGCGCACTTAAAACGTGTTTCTCCTCTCAGTCAAACTGTGTCCTGACTCCTGTGCACTCGCAAATCTCTCTGTGCTCATGCACTATAGACAGTGGCACCACTAAGGGGGGGGAGTTAGGACGATTCTGAGGGCCCACGCACTTTTGGGGCCCCCAGAGATCTGTTTTATTAGTAGTAACAGTAGTAGTTGTAATGTAATAGAAATTATAAATGTATCTACCAAAGAGTTACGAATAAAACAAAATGACGACTTATTTCTGCATTTCCAGCAAAATTATCCCCACCCCCCCATTCACTGCATGGTTTCGTCCCGTCCTACGTAGCCTAGAGTCACTGAGTGAGATCAAATTAGAGATGTCTTTGAGTTCGAGGGGGGCAAACCGAGCCAGACAATTTGGTCAGTTGCACTTTTAAACACATTTTAGTTTTGCTATAAAAAAATCGACAGATTCACTCTGATTACATAGAGCAGCAGCAGGAAGCGTGTGAGGTTGTCATGGTAACCAGATACACTGCTCACGAATTACGGCTGCGCTTCTATTTTGCCAAACTAAACTTAGCAATAAACACGTTGAAAATAATACACAATAAACATGTCTGTCAAAACGATCTCAAAGGAGGCTTTTATTAAGCAAATCAATGAGTGAATTACTCCTCCACCGTTTAAAAAACAGGCAGGATCACAATTATCTACGGTGTATAAAGCTAAAGGTTTTTGGGTTAAGGTTCATAATGTAGAACATTTTTAACACTGTATGCTGTATGTGCATAGGTAGCTAGCAAACAAGGAATACAGCTGTTAAGCTAAGTCACATTTAGCTGCGTAAGATCACTAAACTTAGCAATAAACACGTTGAAAATAATACACAATAAACATGTCTGTCAAAACGATCTCAAAGGAGGCTTTTATTAAGCAAATCAATGAGTGAATTACTCCTCCACCGTTTAAAAAACAGGCAGGATCACAATTATCTACGGTGCATAAAGCTAAAGGTTTTTGGGTTAAGGTTCATAATGTAGAACATTTTTAACACTGTATGCTGTATGTGCATAGGTAGCTAGCAAACAAGGAATACAGCTGTTAAGCTAAGTCACATTTAGCTGCGTAAGATCATGATTGAGAAATGTTGGATACTGCTGGAAATGCTGCTATAGGGTATCCTATTTATTATTTTAGGATTTTTTTTGTTTGCCCCAGTGAAGCATTTCTATTAATATAACTGATTAAGTAGTCAAACTCAATCCATGTCAGCAGAATAGTGTGGTACAGAAAGTCTGTCCATAAAACAAGTTCTGAATGAATTATGATACCTAATGGTCAAAAGCAATAGCAAAAGTAATAGGTCAATATTATTAAATTGCAGACAAAGATTTTGAATAGCTAGGCTGGCTTGTACACTATATTGCCAAAAGTATTGGGACACCCCCTTCTAATGAACAGGTTTGACTACTTTAGTAATTTCTAATTTTTAGTTAAAAAAAAAGCATATAATCATATTCTAGGGAATTGTGTGCTTCTAATTTTATACCAGTAGTTTGAACAGGACCATTTTCTATTCTAACACAATGCCTCTGCGTATAAGGCAAGGTAAAAAAAAAATCAGTGTGGAAGAACTTGACTGGTCTGCAGAAAGCCAAGTCCTAATCCCAGCTGAACAACTCTGGTGTGACTTTAAATGCAGACCTTGAGCCAAAAACTCATCACCAAACACCAATGACTGTATTGGGACACCCCCTTCTTTAGAACAGAAAAAGGCACTTCCAAAACTGTGGCATCAAAGATGGAAACATAATTAATGTATTTAAAAATTGTGTTTTCATCTTTGTTGCCACAGTTTTGGAAGTGTCTAAAATGATTGTACGCATATGTACAAGTCATTGGTGTTTGGCGATTAGTTTTTTTTAGTTTTCCTAATACTTTGGGCAATATAGTGTATGTTTGGTGCAGTAGGGGGCCCAACCTCATATTCTTTCATAGGGCCCAAAATTGCTAGCGGCGCCCCTGACTATAGATATTAATTATTTTCGTTCCTGAATTAAACATTGTCAAGAGTTGTCAACCAATCAGATTTCAAAGATGGATCTGTAATTTCTTTACAATTTAATACTACTTAGTCATAATATTAGAAATGAATCGGGTGCTTGGATGATTTGTAAATAACCTAGTTTAACAGTTTGGTCAAACCCTTCTGAATGATTCATCTAAAAAAACAAAAAAGCATATGATTCTTAAAGTTCATGTGGTCATATATATTGTGTACTTACTTGGATTGAGATATATATATATATATATATATCTTCTGATTGAAGACAGAACTATTTAGATATGGGTCAGATGCACTATTCCCTAAACCCGATACTTAAAATTTGGAGACTAAATATAACACTATAATGAATTTGTCATATTATATTCTATGGGTTTAATGCATTTGCAGACAATGTAATTACATGTAACTGTCATATAACTGTATATTCATTGTTTTAGAGGAGAGTGCCATTGAATGTGTAGCTAATATTAAGTGGATTTTCATGAAAAAACTGAAAACAAACACTAGATTAAAAAAAAAAAGTCCCAATAAATGTCCAAACAGCGATGCTATTAGAGCATTTATTGTGTTATATCTTGCATCATTTACATCTATTTTTGCGTTTGATGTTGATTTGATAGGAGTTGTTACTTATTATTGCCATCATACCAACTGAGAATTTGTTGCAATGTTTTTAAATTCAGTTGAGGTATCTGACATATTATGACATCAAATTTATGATTTATATGAAGTCTTTAGAGCCATAGGCTATAATGTTGTTTTAGTTAAATTGCTCAGTGACTAACCAGTTGGACAGAGGTTATGTACAAATCATCCAAGCACCCAATTCCTAGCCATTTCTATAGGCTACATTTGATTAACATTGCTAAATATTATTAAATTGGAAAGAAATTAAAGATCCATCTTTGATTGTCAAAAGAATTCCAGGTTCTATTCCATAGTTCGTCCTTCACTGTCGGGGCTGTTGAGGAGGAACATAGCACCGTTCCAGAGACTTATCACAAAACGGTTGCCAATCCAGAACCTGTTCACAAAATGGCTGCTAGCCCAGAGACTTTCCATAAAATGGCCGCCAACCCAGAGACTTTTTACAAAATGACTGCTAACCCAGAGTCTTGTAACATCACAGCTGATCATCCAGAGTCTCGTCACGTCACAGCTGATCATCGGCCAGAGTCTTGTCACGTCACAGCTGATCGTCCAGAGTCACATCAGGTCACCGCTGATCATCCAGAGT